CTCCTCCACTGCCCATCTGTGAAATCCTGCTTCCCAAATGCTTCTCCAGCCCACCGCCTGGACCAAGCATGGCACTCAGTCCTAAGGGGCCTCCCCACATAGGCCCCATGGGAGCATTTTTGAAAATAAACCAACCATGTGGCCTCTGGCCCATAGAGCTGTGGTGGCTCCCTTTGGCCCTGCCCAGCTCCCAACTCCCAGTGCCTTGCCCTCCTGTGTCCCTTCGCGCTGGGTCCCCCCAGGGCCCTCCACGCCCTCCTTCAGAACTGAGCAGGTCCATGGAGGGGGTGTAGAAGCTAATGGATGGGGCTTGGCCCAGCCCCCCATGCACCTTGGTGAGAGCCCCAGGGTGGAAGGTCCAGCGGGTCTCATGGCTGAACTGCACACGCACGTCCCCACGGTCTGTGATGCGGTGCACGGTGCCCGTCTGTCCGATAAACTGTGGCGGGTCGTGGAGGCTGTGGCTAAGGGTCCAGGGGATGTGGGGAGGGGAGGGCACAGGGCTAATGGGCGGGGCAGCTCACCTCCGCCATCTTGGGGTTCCACCCGCCATGGCCTTCCTGCATCTCCCTCAGGACGTCTGTGTCCAGCAGACACTTAACCTTGTCCCCGGGCTGGAAGGGCTGGCCATCAGCACTCACCCTGCGCTGCAGCTCTGCTGGCTTGCCTGGAGGCAGGCGGCAGGCCCAGCTCAGGCAGCTCCCCTCCCTGCCCCTCCCTGGCCTTCCCCCAGCACCATCCCAGGTTCAGCCAGGGCAGAACAGCAGCTGGGCAGCCCTTACCAAGCCTCGGGAGGTGATCCTTGTAGTAGAAGCCTCCGGCCGCCTCGCCCACACACTTGAGGTCGACCTTGCCCTTGTGACCCACGCGGTACACGTTGGTGGTGCCATCGGCCCATGTTACGCTGGCCACACTCCGGCCCGTCTCCACATCCCAGCCACGAATGTCTACCACTCGACCTGGCTTCCCTTCCCCTCCTGGAGAGACAGTGGCCCCACTAGCAGGCTAAGCCCGTGCCACAAGGTACAGCCATGGCCAGCACCAGCCCAACCCTTACCTTCCCACCCTGGAATCCCGCTCACCATCCTGCGAGCCCCACTCCCAGTCGGGGCCCCGCACCACCTTCGCCCCCTGGAAGATGCCCCTCAGTGGGATCCTTGGGAGGCCCTGGCGGGGACCAAGCGTGACCCTGCAAGAGAGTGTGTCCTGGGCTATGCAGGATGGCGGTGTGAGGGCTCAGGCCCTCTGCTCTGCCCAGCCTTGCTCCTCCTGCCCAGGGCCCAGGACTGCAGGCCAAGCAGTTCAATGCCCTCTGCATGGTGGGCCTGGAGTATCTGCTGACCCTTCCTGGTGCCAGGCTGGGAGGGCACCCGGGCCCACCCTCACAGCACGGCCTGTGTGCATTCACCCAACACCTGTTGCCTCCCAAAGAGCTGGAAGCCCTAAGTTCCGCGCAGGGCCCAGTCCAGGGAGGCTCAGTGTGTGGATAATGGAGGAACGGGGAATGCACGCTTGGCCACATGTGCCCAGACAACTGACCCCTGCTCTGCCTCTGGCCACACGTGTGGGGAGTGTCAAGGGGACAAGGGGACAGGGGATGGTGCCTCTGGGTGCCCACCCCAACTCGGGGGCCTTATACCCAGCCTGATCCCCCCACCACAGCAAAGGAGCCTTCCAGCCAGACCAACAGCTCCTCCCCAGCTGTGCCCGGGCTGGCCCCCAGTGTGGGCTGCCCACTGCTGGGCCCAGGGCTTCCACCGCCAATGCTGGCTGCATGGTCACACACAGGACACAGGACACCCTCAGTGCCCTGTCACGGCTACACCGGGGAGCCACGCCTAGCTCGGGGGTGGTTGCAGGAGAGAGGAGATCCCATCCATGGCACCACCCTCTGCAAACCTGCTCAGTGGACATGGGTGCCTTCCCCAGCGGATGGGGGCTGGTGTCAACGCCCAGGCTCCGGAGTGACCATGACTCGGGCCACTCTTCAAGGAAATGGCTCAGGAAGGCCTTGACCTGCCCCTGGGGAATAGTTAGTGGGAGGCAGCTGCGGTCCTCCAGGGCCAAGGCCTGGTCGGGCGTCGGAGGCGCTCGCTGGGGCCCCGCGGTC